GAAAAGACATAGAGCAAACCCCTCGAATCAAACACTCTCAAACAGAGAATATGTAACTTTAAATTTAAACACTTCTTTTTTCAGTAACTCGTGTGCTTGCGCCCCTTGAAGACATCCTATTTTTATTTTCCAATTGTAAAGTCATCGCCAATAAAAAACACCCCTTTTTGGGACTTTGTCTCATGAGGTTTGTCTCTTACACAATCGTCTGATCTCTTTTTAATTGTTAGCGACTAACCCGCGCGAAACACCATCAATTGAACTATTACAATTTCCTTAGCCCAATTTGAGCATGTTATTCTTGTTCTCATTCAATACACTTTTCAATAGTGTTTTCATTTTCCACACGCTATTAGTATCATAGTTCTATACGAATTAGAAAGGTGGACGACGTCCATATCTCTTCATTTTTTTTTAATTGATATTCATTTTTAGTAGAAATCAATGCATTAATTAGTTTAAGAATTAAATTTAGAACCATCTTCTAGTCATTCTTTCGGAAATTAATTATTTTCAGGTTGAGATTTATGCAATCTATTTGCTTAATGATGCATAAGGTGTGCACATTCAGATCATCAATTTGTCTCAAATTTGTTTATCGAAATTGAGATGAAATATCCTCTTAGTAATTGATGTTGTGTTCAAAAACAAACTTGTTGGAAACCATGTAAAGAAATTGCTGTGACCCAATTTTTGGTGAAAATGAATTTTGTAATAGTATTTTTTTTTTAATAGAATGTGTGATTAAAAGTAAGATTTGTTTTTTTAATTTACATGTGAATTATTTTATTGGAGGATTGTGTGATTAAAATTGAATTTGAAGAAGAATGAATTTTAAATAATGAGTCTCAACAACTTAGTCGATTGAGTTATTTGAACTCAGAGCTTGTTTGAAATCCATTAAAATGTTAAGAATGCATTTTTGAATAGTAAATTGTTGGAGAATACGTGGTTAAAAATTAAAGAAAAATTTTGAGTTTGCATATAACATTATTCTATTAAAAAACACGTAGTTAAAAAGAAAAGAGAGAAAAATGTATTTTGTAAAAAATTGAGATCAAACAAGAGCTCATTATACGCCATGCAAATTACTGTAACTTTATATGCACGTAGACCAATAGAATACTCCGACATTTAAATCCATCGACTTGCTATACAATAGGGACAAGTTTCCCACATTGAGTAAGAGAGTATCCAAAGAATGAGATCACAAGGCCATGAAGCAAAGGATCTCCAAAGTTTCCTAGTGGGGAGATGTTGTGTGTAGAACAAAATTTCACAGAAGCTGTACAGACAACTCACAGCAGGGGATGGGTGAATTTTTTTATCACAATGTGGGGGCCACTACGTGTGAGGTTTCGACAGCATTCTTTGAGAATTTTATTCCGTACAAAGGCTTTCCCCTTCCTAGTGGAAGCAAAATGTTCCTCCTAGAATGGGCCAAAGGTAACCCACATTTGTACCTTCAGGTACAACCTTCGTATGTAATAGCACAATAGTTTCAATTTGACTGCTCCATATAGTGACAATATTGATGGGAAGGGACTCTAAAAAGCTAAAATGAGAATTGGTGGATGCATTTCTATTTCGACAATTCTTTATGTCTTACTTGGCCATATGTTGATGTTTATTTTTATCATTTTTAGGGGGGAATGGAGTGGGGAATATACCACTCGTTGAACCTTGACCGATTTGGACAATGTGAGTTGATATATGTTGATTTTTATTGTCATAAAAGAAAGTGAAGGATAAAATTGTTATAAAGGCTAAGGATTAAGGATGTTGAGTGTAATTTAACCAAAATAATATTCAATTAAAATTTTCAAATATTAAGCCCTTGCTTGAGATTTTCAAAATTTGGAGAATTTGCGGTTAAAAAGGAAGAAAAATTTTATGTTCCAGTGTAAAATATTTTATTGTGTGAATATGTGGTTGCAAATGAATATGTAGAAAAAAAGAGTTTTGAAATAAAAAATATCAAACAGGGGTTGAGGTGTCAATTATTTCAAGGCATTCATATCCTATCAAGATCTCCTTTTTGTTACGAGAATTAAGACTAGTTTTACATTACTTTTGAAAAGTCAAAAGGAGTTTATAAGATTCAAAAATTACTTGTTAACTCACTTGACTAATTTTATGAAAGTGCCTCTCGTAGTAAAATAGCATCTAGAGGAAGTTGGCCCAATATGGCTTCCTCTAGAAAACATTTTTGAAATAATAAGTACATTTAAAAATTAGTTTCTAAACAAAAATTAAAGTAGGATCCTTTAAAAGCGCTTCTAAAAAAAGTAAAAGCAAAAATAAAAATTATGTCAAACAGATCCTCAACTAAAGTTCCAATTTAGCCCTCTTTTGACTCCCATTATTTAATATTATAATTTTTGGAATAGTATTTTTTGAAAAGTGAGTGGTTAAAAAAAATAAAATTCTTTACAATTTACATGTTATATTGTTTTATAGAAGATTGTGTGATTGAAAAGAAGACAAAATAATGTATTATAATTTTAATGGGGATCAAACGGGAGCTAATTGTGCATTGTATTAGATAGTAATGAATAAAATAATAGAATTAAGATTTAAAATTTTTATTTTAAATTTTGCTTGTAATTGCTAATGGGTGTCAAAAGATAAACAAGAATGAACTAAACTGGTGCACAAAACTTTAGAGAGAAGTGCTACGAGAACAACATATTTGACAGTCATCTTATATGTAGGCGGTGAGATTCGCGATTAAAATAATCGAGAGTTCCACATTTGTGAGAGAACTGTATATTTGTACAGCACTTTCTCAATACTAAGAGTAGGAATGAGCTATCCTATACGAAGAGTAGGATTAGCATTATTTTATATAATGATACATGGAGTTAGATCGTGAAAGAAATTCTAATAAAAATATTTGTGACGATATCTATGAGATGTTAAGCCCGTATTTGATATCGATTAAAATCTAAAATTTAATTTAAGTCAAAGCTAACAATTCATTTTCAACCACATGTTTTATGGGTCTCACAATTTTTTAATCATACATTTCATTATCTTCTATCGAAATTTATTAAAAATTTGATTTTAATTCCCACCAAACTGGGGCTAGGAGCATATTTAATGGGGTTGTAAAATAGATTTAAATTATGATTTAGATTTTCAAAGTGGTTTGAATCCTCTCTAATGAAGATATGCAAAGAAAATGTAAGTTGCATTAATTGACAAAAAATGTGAAAAAAAAATGATTTTAATTTTTTGTATTCACAAAAGGCAAAAGTTGGATTTAGATATTCTCATTGGAGCGGAATTTAGATTAATCAGGATGTAAATAATGATACAAAAGTGATTTTAAAAATATCAATTTTACACCACTATAATCTATTGGATATGCTCTAAACGTGTTTTGTGGAAATGACTGATTAATTTAACTTTGAGGGATACCGGGTGTATTACATGGGTCATCTATGATGAAAAAGACATAGCTCAAGCGATAAGAACAAAACTTTACTAGGCTGATGACTAAGTCCAAGCCTGATTTTGAGAAGTGAAATTCTTTTATTCCTTCCGTCTCATTTTATATAGGTTTGTTTTGTTATTCACACAGATTAAGAAATCTTATTTAATGTTATTAAAAAAGTAATTTTCGTCAAAAACTTTAATATAATTTACCCTTATTTATATTTGTACAATTTCAAGATTAAGTGACAAAAAATTGGTTATAACTTGGCAAATTAAATAATGATATATTAGTAAATGAACAAAACAAAATATTTTCAACAAAGAAACAAAACTATATAATTAGGATAATAAAATAAGGAAAGCTAGCCTATATAAATGGGACGGATGAAACATTACATTTTAATTAGAAAACAGGGGGTCGTCTAGGGGGAGACAAATTGGGTTGTGCATGGGTCCATGAAAGGGGAGATGATATACAAAGGACATTGTAGTGAAGTGAATTTAGTGGAAGATTTAGTCTACACAAACTAGGCCATGGTTGCCTCCTTCGATTGATAATCTGAAGCTGAACATCAATGCTTCCGCGAAGAAGGCGACTGTATTTTTCACTATTATTGTAGTGATCTCAAATGAACAAGGGCGGAGGTAGCAATGTAGGCCAGAATGCTATTCTTCATTTATAAACATCATAATTGAACATCGATAGAAGCAAGATTCTTGTTGATTGCTCTTTATTATTAGCAAAAGTCTTGCCGTTTAATAAACTGTCAATTGTTTGAAAAACATTATAAGTTATTCATAGTTTTCAATTGACGTCAAATATTAATTTTATTATCACATTTACAACTATTACTTGTTATCTATACGTCTACTTGTACAGATTCTTAGTATATATTTTATTAATAAGATGATCTACAACTTAAAAGAAAAAAATTTGTTAATTTATCATGTAATCTTGAGGAAATATGACTTACTTTAAATATATGAGCATTAGTCAAGTTGGGAAGCGTAACCGAGCATAACAAAACTACACAAGCAAGAGATATATGATTATTTTACAAACATCTAACAATTTCGTCGTTGAAGACTAGTCTCGTAACCATAATAAATTGTGAATATCAACTTTCTAGTGAAGCAATAAGTTCGGGGGAAATATTGCAAATTATCCTTTGGGATTCCCAAACATTCCTTAATTATTAGATTGGTCATAAGCATGCTTAAAGCGTAAAAAAACAAAAGTAATATTAATAAAAAAAAGGTAGTATCAGTCTTGCTGGCCGTCGCAGTGTGAAAGTTCGATTCCTGATATGTTAAATTTGATTCTTTGTGGGTATCAGTGTACAGGCAAGCTCTTGTTCCTTGATCTACTGTGACACATCTCGTGATTTACTTCCTTTACGATACTCCAAAGATGGAGACTTCAAGAATGAAGTTCAACTTTTTTATTTTTTATTTTTTATTTTTAAAGAAAGATAAAAAAAAGTTAAAAAAGTAGGGAGTGAGAAAGAGCCCACGAAAGCAAGGTATTTCAATTTTCAAGATTCCAAACCAAGACATGATGAAATCCACTGTCACCTCGTTTGATTTGAACCACATACCGCCCATTTTGACGCGAATTTTCATGTTCAAAAAAGAAAAAGACAGAGGTTAAAACGAAAGTGTCACATCCTAAATTTCCTCAAATCTTCCATTCTATTTTGAATATTTTGCAATTTTTCATACTTCATAGTATAGTAGTATACTGACAAACGCCAGGTAAACATATTTTCTTTTTCTTGTTTCATGGCCGAGCCGAAACGCCTGTACCAGGTTTGGAAAGGAAAAAATGTAAGTTTTTTTTTAACCCCCCCGAATTTTACTCTCTGTTTTGCTATTTTGTGAAAAGGGCTTTGCTTAAAATGCAAAAAAAGATTGATGGGTTCTTCTTGTTAAGTTGGTGAAACATGAGATGTTATTTTTATTTTATTTTATTTTATTTATTTTTCAGAAAGTTTTGCTGTGTTTATTTCTTAGGGTTTAATTCGATGGTTCTGGGGGATATTATTGGCCAAGTTTTGGAATTGAGTATTGAATTTTGTTTACACAAATTATCTTTGGACTTGATAGGAGGCTTATCTGTCTGTGTTTTAATGCAACGGTGATTAATTTTTACTTTATCAAATTTGTTCTATAGTACACCATTTTGTGTTGCTGTTCCAACTTCCAACTAGGGCTAAAACTTTAGTTAATATGGATTAAGGTTCATTTGAAAGGATATTTAATGTGGTTAGTAATTGGAATTAATCTAGTTGTACAAACTTTGTTTACAAACTAAGTGCTGACAAGATCTAGCCAATTGATTTCCATTGATTTAAAAAACTGTTTTTGAAATGATTGGCCTAAATGTTGCCAAAACATAGTTTGAAAAACAAGTTTGTCATCCTAGTTTGTATTATGGGAATGTGAGGTTAATGGAAATGCACGATTCATTTCTCGAGAACACTGGAGACCACTGAATAAAAAAGCAGAGGACTTCTTGTCATAACCGTTACAAATGCAGTATACAAAGACGGATGATCTTTTATAGGAATTATGTAGGTTAGATAGATGGTCAGAAATAAAAGTAGAAGCCATTTCAAAACTTGTTTTCTCATGTATACCACGATTCTGTTTCCTAAGTGGGTAAGTGGTTTAGGTCTATTACTCAATCTGGTTTACCTTCGGAAAGCCAATCAAAATTGTGCTTGATTGTATGAAAGGTGAATTCTGTTGTCGTTAACAGGAAAGAAGTGTAAGTCAATATGGTATTGTTTGTGTATATTCAGTGTTCTATGATATTTCAATTATCGACAAGAAGGATGATCGCCAGGGTTAAGTTGAATATTTTGACTCAACTCACAGTATCATCAACTCAATTATAAATGCTTTGAGCAAATTAAGTAGTACAATATAATTCAAGATAACTTGGAAGCTATCAAGATTTTCAAAACTGAAATGGAGATCAGGTGAAATTAATTTTGAGAACAATAACTTCCATATCAAATTTCACCTTTTTCCCTATGTTTGAATTCGTATGCACCAAGTGGGGGGGGGGGGTTAGGTGTTGCGTGATGGTCTCCTCTCCCTCCAGAGTTCTGTCTATTTTTGTTTGTACGGGTTGGGTTGGGAGGATGGATAGTTTGCAGTGGGGAATTTTAGCTAGTTTTAGTTTCCTTGGATTAAAGGCAGCATCATGGAATAATTTTTTCTATTTTTATGCAATGGCGACTTGAGTGAAGTTGTTAAGGACATGAAAAGGAGGATTAATAAAAAATGTGCAAAAGAAGTAAAGGCTGTTAATTGTTATTACTTGAAACTTTGCTTACTGTTTTTTGTCAATTGAATTTTTTTTCTCTGTTTCATCTGATTTGGCTGAAAGAACCCTTTTTTGATGTCGTTATTTCAGTTGAACTGTGGGGAGGTTTTTATTACAACACCATTATGTTTCTGTGCAACAGCATAAGTTTGTTGCATCTCCTCGATAATCCATTGCTTGTAATATTAAATGGAAAGCGTCCTCAACAACCTTTTATTTTTTATTTTTATTTTTTTTCCTGTCTGAATATGCAGGTTTGGTTTTCCAATATCCAACTTCCATTCCCTCATGGCAAAGCCCCATTAGAAATAAGATCGTGGTTTCTTGAACTCAATCTGGCGGGTTTACTTGTATTTCTGGGATAAATAAGATGCTACCTTTGATGATAAAATTTTCTAGAGATGTTCCATTCAATTTACTGACCTTTCAATGAGATTATACAAGAAAGATTAAAATATTCTTAGAATATGCTATAGCTTGGAAAGTTTGCTGTATTAGTGAAGATAAATATATACAATTGAATTATGTTGTTGATGCATATGAAGTTTTATGAATATTTAACTTCCATGACTTCCTGACCGTGCAGAAATTCTTCTTCAGTGGGAGGCTGATATTTGGGCCGGATGCTAGGTCATTGATCATTGCCTTATTGCTTATCCTCGTCCCTGTTGTCATCTTTTGTACTCTTGTAGCACGGAACCTTCTTCATGAAATTCCAGCATATAATGCAGGATATGCAATTTTGGTTGTCACAATTGTCTTCACTATCTATGTTAGTTATCTGGATCTTCTTTATGTGACTTTAATTATTTCTGTACATTACTGGAGCTGCCTTTCAACTTTATTTCATGCATCTTTCAAATTAACAAGTTTTAGCGACTTTCTACTCTTTCTCATTACCCTGAGGTTGTAACATGAAATTAAATCACTTGGAAATACTTTGAAGTAAAAGTTATATTCTTGTTACATTATAATGAAAAAGGGGATATTGTGTGACATGAATACCAATTCTAAAATCATGTATGGGAAGTGTTTATAAATTGTTTAAATTATAAATAGATAGAAACGAGTGGCAGATAAGTTGATAGTATTTGTTGGTCCCACGAAATTTATAGATAAAAAGTGGTTTCATCGATTATGAATAGTTTATAAACATTACCCAAACATGGGCTAAATATTTTCTCCCAAACTTGCATCTTCCAGTTGAGTCCTCAACTAATTTCGTTTTTCTTTATCCATAAAAATTTCTGATTTTTAATAGGCTAATGTTTTAGTTGGTTACAATAGGTGTTATTCCTCCTACTTTTGACCTCATCTCGGGATCCTGGCATCGTACCCCGTAGTTCTCGTCCTCTAGAGGATGAGTTTGGGTATGAATCTTCCGCTTCTGTCGAAGCTGGTGGAAGACTTTCACAAAGAGTGCAATTGCCTCGCACTAGAGAAGTTTTTGTCAATGGCCTTCCCGTGAGGGTTAAATATTGTGAAACATGCATGGTTTATCGTCCTCCAAGATGTTCCCATTGCTCGGTTTGTGATAATTGCGTGGAGCGATTTGATCATCATTGCCCTTATGTTGGCCAATGCATTGGAAAGGTATGTCATTCTGGAGCTAATTGTTTCTTGATGCCATCAATTCTCTCGTCTTGTCGTCTTCATGTCCATGTAAATTTCTTAGGAAGTTGCATTTCTAAGGGATTTCCAACATTTAAGGAGTTATAAAACTTCAATATGTACTGTTATTCAATAACTTACCTACACGGGATGTTTAGTAGAGAGAATTGGATGGTACTAAACAGTATTCTAGTCATGTCCAAAATTGTGTACCAAAATGCATTCAAGTTTTGTAGAAATGCAAGTGGATCAAACTGCAGAGAATATTTGATTAGTTTCTTGAAAGAAAGTGTTGTCTGCAAAATTTTCATATTTATTAGCATTATGATTTGATTAAGATAGCTTTATATTGTTAAATTGATGCTGCGATGTACCTCTTACTTATTTATAAGTAAACCTTTTAAGCTTAACCAAACATGTAATCGCTTAATTAAGAAAAAGATAAAAAGACAAAAGGGAAACATAATCACCCTTTCTTTTATTTGTTGCTTCTGTTCTAATTTCTATTATGATATCAAGAAGCTAACAACTTGATTATATGCAGCGGAACTATCGTTCTTTCTTTCTCTTTGTTTCTTCCTCGGCACTTCTCTGTATCTTCATCTTTTCAATGTCAGCTTTGTACATGAAATTTCTCGTGGATGAACATGGAACTGTTTGGATGGCCATGAAAGAATCACCAGCATCAGTGGTATTGATGGTGTATTCTTTTGTTTTGCTGTGGTTTGTTGGAGGTCTCACCGGCTTTCATTTGTACCTAATCGGTTCAAACCAGGTTTGTTTCTTTTGTTGTGTTAGGGCATTTCATCTCTACCTCATTTCATTAGCTAAGTAATAATGATTTTTCTTTAGTTTTATTTAATAGTATCTTTTTTATTCACGTTGCATAGAACCGATGCCAGCATTAATCTTGTCCAATTAGTATCAAGGTTTATTGATTCAGAACTAATAAAAGCACGGTTTTACTTTTAACTGAGGAAAGAATGGGTTTATGGACATAGCTGGAATCTCTTTCACGAGACATACATGGTTGGCTAAGATCTAAAGTTTACTTATTAAGTAAATTTTGTAAATGAATAATATTTTATAGGTAGAAGATAAATACAAGTTACTTATTTTGACTATAAACTAAGAGCTGCTTTCAAAATAAATGAATATTGATTTTCGTAAAATTAATAGAAAAGTAACATAACAATGTAACATACCCCAATATCTTTTGGAAACAAAAAGTTAATTAGTAAATTTTTTAAGGGATAATGGGCACAAATATTTCCTCTCGTTTGGGGTAAGTCCAGTTTCAGGACCTATCATTTTCAACTTGGCATTATGGCCCCTTTTTGCACCTTCCTTTGCGAAAGTAAGATCTTATGTTAGCTGCCGTCTGTTTTAACCGTTAATTGGGCGAATGTGCCTTACAAGACATACTTTATAAGGGCAAATTTGTCCATGCACTTAATTCTTATTAATATAACAAATACAATAAACCCCTCAGAAGTTGTTCTTCTTTAACACTGCCAACGCGATCCGCCTTGCCCAAATTCCTTCCTTCTATGACACCTCTCACTCCACATCCATCAGTGCCTCTATCCAAGATATTACAATAAACCCACTCCCTAACCCTTTATATACATAGAGAGAGTGGTTCTAGAAACAAGAATTAAATTTTTAGTCTAAAACTAATTGCAGGCTTGGTACGAGGAATTTTGCAACCTTAGTTTATAGAAGGTTAAGTATCAAGGATCTGATTACAAGATCACCTGTATATAGTTTTGCTATCTATGCATCTGGAGTTGATTGAGCTCTATCTTTAGGTGAAAAAAGACAGCAGGATTCACAAAAAAATGGCCTTGACTCACTACGCAAGAATCTTGAGGTTAAAAATTTTGGTGGAGAGAGGGCGATACCTGGAAACATTATTGTTTGGCAAAGGGGAACCCAGTTTCATCCAGGAAATTACTTTGGAATCAGGAAAGATCACACCCTCTATGCTTTAAAGGAAGATTTTGTTAAGTCTGAGTGTCCCAAGCTGAGGTGATGTAAGTGGGTGCATGTTGAGCCCAACAATGGTCATGAGATTCACCTTGTCTACTCGAGTGCTGCCGAATCTCCCATGGTCAAGAAGACAACTTAATTTTGTTCCTGAAGAAGCCACAATTTTTTCAACATGCTGAATCTACATTTTGGCTTGCAATGGACATGAACTCAAGAAGTTCCAAAAAACAACGGTTTAGGTAAATAAAATGCATTAATATAACATCAATAATAACTGCAGCACCAGTAAAATAATGACGCCTGCTAATTCAAAACTCAGCTGCATTCTGTTTCAAAACCTCTACTTCAGCCCTGGCCATCAGATCATCCTTAAAATCGGCATCTTCTTCCTTTTCACCTTCTCGTTCCTGGTGTAATTCTTTAGCTTTCTGCATTGCCTTGAAGCTGCTGCATTTCCTCCTCCTGCTCTGCTGCCTATTGAACCACGTGTCAGCATCCTGCAAATAGGTCGGGTGGCCTATCCTATTTCGCCACCTTTGATTTTCTTTGGTAGCACATAGTTAAGAGTGAGAACAAGGCTGTATAGCTCTGCGCCGTCCATGTTATCTATATCAGCAGCTGCATCCTCTCTCTCGAGGAAAATGACGAACCTGAATGAGTGGTGCTTCTGCATGGCCTGATCCAATGGAGTCTTCTCATCCTTGATATCACTTCCTCTGCTAAACCACCCACATGGTGTGTTCTTCTGCACTCCCTGTTGGATTATTTTTTTATTCAAATTACGATCAATTGCTCTTGCTATCTGAATTTATGCTTGAATTTTTACTCTTTTCTGGGAATTTTGAATGGTTATGGCAAGAGGCTGAAGAAGAGGGTTGGATTGGGGGCGTTGAAGAAGAACTTTTGGGGGATGGGTTTATTATTTTTATTATATTAATAAGAATTAAGTGCAAGGACAATTTTGCCATTATAAATTTTGTCATGTAAGAGACACAAGCCCAAGTAACAGATAAAATGGATGGTAGCTAACTGAAGGTCCAAGTTTCGCAAAGGAAGGTGCAAACAGGGGCTATAATGCCAAGTTGAAAATGATAGGTCCTGGAATCGCAGTTACCCAAAAGATAGGGGCCATTTGTGCCAATTAACCTTTTTTAAGTTTAGCCAAACATTTTGGCTGAAAGCTGTTCTTTAAGTTGATATACACTTGCAATTCAAAAGAGCTTATCGTGAATGGTATACATTTTCCCACCATTTTCCTTAAATGATTGGAGTTGGTGCTTTCGTTTCAAGAAAATATGAAAAATAGTTCACTATCATTTATTTATTTATTTTTCTACTGTGGCCAAAAGATCAGCAGAGAAACTTAAAATTACGAAACGTAAGTGAGAAACAGTGAGCAAGATATGGTTGTTTCATCCTTCTGCATAACCTTCGCATACAGAGTGTTGATGATTTGGGGTACCTTTTGTATTTGAGGATGCATCAAGAATTCTAAAATGATACGGTCAACACTTTTTGGTATCTTCTATGTACCTCTGTATGTCCTATTCGACCTTGTGGACATAACTTATATTGTTTACTCATCTCATGATCTTGGGTATTTTATTGTGGAGTATATTGGACATTCATATCTTTGTATTAGGTCGCCCTAGTCTCCTAAACTATATAAAGGAATTGTTTTTCTATAACATGAGACAGAGGTATGGGGAAAATAAACTCGCTAATCTCCTTTTCTCTTGTATTGAAAAATTTGCACCGGCAAGTGGATATAGCACTTAAGGGTCAACGGCTATAAGTATGTGTTTCAACTTTTTGTTCAGTTCATTATTGCTCTTGGGATTGGAACTATGACTTGATACCTAATATGTCTCTCTTTGTTTTGACTCTCTAACTTGGTAGTGGTGTTCTGCAGACAACATACGAGAATTTTCGTCACAGAGCAGATAACAGGAACGTTTATGACCGGGGATGCTTGAACAATTTTCTTGAAGTATTTTGCACTAAAACAGAACCTTCGAGACACAATTTTCATGCGTATGCAAATGAAGATATGACGGAGCCTTCAAGGGGATCGACTCATGCAGCACATAAAAGAAATTCCAATGAGGGCAGACGAGCTAAGGTAGAAGAAGATCTTGAGATAGGCAACGATCTTCTTAAGGTATCTCAACGGCGTGAATCAGAAGAAGTGAGCGATATTCCAATCAGAGGACAAGATACACCACCGCAGAAGTTGTCTGAGGCCGACTTTGGATTGGGTTTGGAACCACAGGTATCCTCATTCAGATATGAGGATTACTCTAGTAGCTTGGATAGAAGGAACGAGAGAATGAGAGTTTAAATCGAAAACTGATTCAAAATATACAAGTTCTTCTTAAGCTACACTTTTTGTTGGAGTGCCAAGTAGAATGCACAGTTGGAGGATTCTTGCGATGGATTTCTTCCGTTTTCTTTTGGCTTCCCGTTACGGCATATTCGATCAAGAAGATAGGACAATACTTGATAGTATTAATGAAGAAAAGAAGTTAAAATCTTATTTATTTATTGTAGTGATTAGTCATGTTTAACTTTGTGTATCGAATAGTGTTTCCATTTCAAAGGCATTCGAGTCGTGTTAGGGATGTAAGGCGAACATGGGAAGTGATATAACTTAAAAGTACCTCTAAATATTGATACAAAAAACATAAAAACTAATGGTTTGTTTGCATTTTCAAATATTAATATGATTTAATTGAAAAACGATAAACTACTTATGGCTTGTCTGCATAAATATCATGCAATCTTTTCATTACTTAATGATAATCCATATCAAACTGAAAATGAGTCGGATTACCATCGAAGCAACTTCTTGCTTATAAGTGATTTTCAATGGTGAAAGAGAGAAGATAAAATATCCTAGCTACATTCAACTGTATACCGGGGTGTCAACCCCGTCTATAAGTAAGGGCCCCTTATTGTCAAGGGGCTATATACTAGGGTATCAACCTTAGCGTACAAGTAGCAAAACCCTAAAAAAAAAAAAAAATTGTAGTAAAATTATAAGCTTTAAAGTAAAATCAGAAAATGAAAGTACAGTGTGTTTGGCGTATACCTAGTTTGTTTCTTATTCTTTGGCCACAAAAATGAAAAATATGATCGTTATTCATCACATTAAGCCATCATGTTTGACTTCCTCTCTCTTGTGTGAGTCCTGTAACGATTATATTTTTCATTTTTATTCTTATAAGAATAAGAATCAAACGGGGTATAGTATTAGACAGTACTGAACGTGACCACATGCGAGATTTTGGCCACTTTCTCTTCTTGAATCGTGCCTCAAGTATTGGATTATCCTGAAGAAGTCTGATGACTTGAACCCCCCAAAGAAAAATCAGCCTCACTATTTCGACTGTTTGCTGCTATGAGATTATCCCTTGGCTGAGCTGAAAATAAAAGCGGAGAAGAAGTCGTCGACGGAAAAAAAGCACGATCATACAAAGACGAAGATGAAGATTGAAAAGTCGAACATGTGGATGATTGAAACAACAACTGACCCAACAAACTTGTGGGCTGTCCTTGACTATCATCAAGATTCATGAACTCGTGTGTGTTGGGATTAATAATACTTTGAGCTTGAGTATGAACAATGGGTTCGGATGAAGTCGAAACTGGAAAAAATGTATTCCGAGGAAACAAAATGCTCGACCTGGACGAGGACGAGGACGAGGACGAGGACGAAGAAGCTGGCACTAGCCTGACATTTTCTGGGAAATTTAGTTTGGCTTTGTTGCCTCTGAACCTTAAAGCAGCCTTATCATAAGCTCTAGCAGCATCCTCTGCAGTGTCAAATGTGCCTAACCAAACTCTTCTAGCTTTATATGGATCTCTTATTTCAGCAGCCCATTTCCCCCATGGCCTCATTCTCACTCCTCTATATTTTTTTCTTGGGATTCCTTCGTGGGATTCTATGTTGTTGTCATATGTTGGAATGTAGGCATATACCGCACTTGTCTGAATCATAGATCCTTCTGCACCTGTAATATATTCAAGAAAAAAAAAAGGGATTAATGAGATTTGCAAACATTACATACATTAATTACTAGATCAATGAAATTCCCAAATAAATATTTTATTCAAACCTTTTGCCTTCTTTTGTCAGGTTAAAGAAGTGAAAAAACAATGCACACTTGCAATTGCGTGTGCAATTGCCAATCCTGTGTGTTACTAGGTAGGGGAGGATGGAGTGGAGGTGTCAACTGCATACGTCTAGATGCATGCAGGGAAGGATTTAGTGTGGGCCCGACACTAAATTTAAAATTTCAAAATTTGCCCAATATTTTTTCAAGATATAAAAAAAAAAAAAAAAAAAAAAAACCTTATTTTCAATTTTTGCTCCCAGTTAAATTTTTTTTTAGTGAAAATTGTCCTCAACTCTTTTATCCTAGCTTCCTCCTTGGATGCACGACAACATAGCCCATGTTTCTAAGCGGACGGACTATACCGCACAACCAGAGACAGACCTTGGGGGGTGGGTTATAGGGTCAATTGACCCTCTAGATTTTGGAAAAAAAAAAAAAATTGTTTAGCATTTTTTTATGAGAAGATACCCTATAAATTTTATTTGTGACCCTCTAACCCAAGTCGTCTGGGTCCGCCTTTGCGCATGACCTTGGAGTCTGACATTGCTATGCGTGTCTTGTTGCGAAGGACATACCACCCGGCACTGCAGTTCAATGCATATACATGCTTCTATCGAGCACTCTACACTCTAGCTACTGTCGGATTATATATGGACCTATTTGATTTTGCTAAAATTAGATTTTCGGAAAATTTTGATAAAATTGATGAAATGTGGAGTTAACATGAAACATTGAATTAGATTTTTATCAACTTTTTAACTAAATCAAACCGTGTTATATTAAGAACATCAAATTAAACGCATTATGTTTTTGTTGGAAAAAATAATTAATTGCAGTAGTGATCAGAACAATATAATGCAGAAATATGAAACTTATCGTCCGATCGAATCTCGTGACAGCACGATGTCCTAAAGTGAAATTGCCCGTCAATAATTGCTGCGACTTCCGTGGACAATCACTCTCAGGATACAACGATCGTAAACCACTTGTGCAGTAATCACGAATGATTTTTCTAGAACTCTCAATTGTACTCCAGAATAAATGTAAAAACCCAAATATAAGAAATTCAGAATATGAAAAGGAGGATTGATGCAAGATGATTTTTCTATTTTCTTTTTGTGTGTGATTTTCCTAAAACGAGATATGGGTTTATATAGGCAAGATGGAAGTAACAGTCTTTACCATGTTAATGCAGAATTTTATTGACTGAGTAGTGGGTGTTTTAATGGCTGTTAGTGGGTTGTTACAAAAAACAAACAGTCAAAAAACACTGGCTAGTTTTACTCATTAAATAATAAAGAAAAAAATCATTTATTTTAGTCAAGAAAGCCCAAGAGCCCCAATCAAGACATTTTAATATCTGCGTGGGGAGTGATTCGAACCCCTGACGTCCTACACAAATGTCACATTTTCCACCACTTTAGCACTTTATCTAATTTGATTATTTTTTTCACATTTTATATTTATACCATAAATATATAACAGTCCCCCACATGAAAGAAATAAGATAAATGAAAATATTACTCTGCAGTACGGTAGAAATCATGCAGGTTTAGGTGTCTATCGACTTGAACCTTGGCTTTGTATATTCTATCGAGCTTACTAACTGTAGAGTGAACTATGTTTTGAACTCTATAATTATAGTTGCAAACTGAGACAATAAAACACACACATGATTTCTAGAACAATCATTGAGTTCTCGCGGTTGTGTTCATTTCGGCCGTGAACTTTCCCAGTTTCTTTGAGTGCTCTAGAGAATTCGCCTCAATTCTCATAGGAAGCGGCCCCACTGAATTTACACCCCAGTGAATAGGTGCTACTATCAAGGGTGCACTGTATTTAAACACCCCACTGAATATCAGTTATAGTAAGCATTAAGAGCATTAGCTCATCCTCTAATCAATACAGTTAGTACTACGCATCATAGGGAGGGGTTTGAAATGAATCCAATGTAATACCCCCACAGACCACTCCAATAACTTTGTTGTCCCACTGAACCTTGACCATGGGATCTCCAATTGCAAGGTTGGGTTTCTATTATAGGTGATCTTATAAATAATAGGCTTTAGCCCCATCCTCCTCGATGTTTGTTGAATTAGCTCTCTAGCCAATCCTTTGGTTAATGGGTAAGCAATGTTATCACTTGACTTCACATAGTCAATAGCTATAATTCCATCCTTATGCAGCTGACGCACAGTATTGTGCCTCCTACGAATATGTCTAGACTTTCCATTGTAGGTTAAATTTTGAGCTCTTGAGATAACTACTTGACTGTTACAATGTATTGAAATAATTGGAAATGGTTTAGACCACAAAGGAACATCCATAAGAAAATTCCTTAACCATTCAGCCTCCTCACCCGCCTTATCTAAAGCTGTGAACTCAGATTCCATAGTAGATCTAGCAATGCAGGTTTGCTTAGTGGATTTCCAGGAGACAGCTCCGCCTGCTAATGTAAATACATATCCACTTGTAGATTTACTTTCATTGGTATCGAAAATCCAATTAGCATCACAATATCCCTCAAGTATAGCAGGGAATTTGGTATAATGTATTCCCCAGTCTAGAGTGTATCTCAAATACCTCAAGACTCGAATGAGAGCATCCCAATGTTCATTGTTAGGATTACTAGTATACCTGCTAAGTCTACCGATAGCATATGCTATATCAGGTCTTGTACAGTTCATGAGATACATGAGACTGTTAATTACTTTAGCGTACTCTAAAGCGGAAACACTAAGACTTGAATGTTTTCTCAAATGACGGCTTGCATCATAAGGTGTTTTAGCAGGAATACAGTTGTATTGACCACATCTAAACTAGTTCCCATAATCAGCATATCATCAACATATAAGCAAATTATCACACCACAATTATTTTCAAATTTGCTATATATGCATTTATCTGCTTCAAATTTGTTATATATTGATTAAACTTTTTAAGCACCTTTTCTACATAATGTGATTAGGTCAAAATAATTCCTTCAGAATGTTTTACTATTTTGATTCCTACAATAACATCAGCAACACCCAAATCTTTTATTTCAAAGTGTTTGTTCAGAAACTGCTTAGTTTTATTAACCACATCTAAACTAGTTCCCATAATCAGCATATCATCAACATATAAGCAAATTATCACACCACAATTATTTTCAAATTTGTTATATATACATTTATCTGCTTCATTTATCACATAACCACTTGATGTCAAAACTGTATTAAATTTTTCTTGTCATTGCTTAGGAGCTTGTTTAAGGCCATAAAGAGATTTTTTAAGTCTACATACTTTATCTTCAAGGCTTTCTATAACAAATCCTTCAGGCTGATCTATATAAATCTCCTTTTCCAAGTCTCCATTTAAAAATGCAGTCTTGACATCCATTTGATGTATAATAAGATCATACAGTGAGGCAATTACAATTAACATCCTAATAGAGGTAATCCTAGTAACGGGTGAATAAGTATCAAAGAAGTCAACTCCTTCCTTTTGTTTATAGCCTTTAGCTACAAGTCTTGCTTTATACTTATCAATTGAACCATCAGGTTTGAGTTTTTTCTTAAACAACCATCTACACCCAATTGTCTTATATTCTTGAGGTAAGTCCACTAACTACTAAGTATTATTAGACATAATTGAATCATATTAACTATTTACAGTTTCCTTCCAAAATATAGAATCTGGTGAAAATATAGCTTCACCAAAAGTACTAGAATCATCTTCTACTAAGTAGGTTACAAAGTCAGGACCGAAAGAAGTAGTGGTCCTAGATCTTTTGCTTCTCTTAATTTCAGCTTCTTCTAATTCAGATGGCTCCTCTCTACACTAGGAGGAATACTAAAAGAACTGCTTGATCCTTCAGGCTTTTCTTTAAACAGAAATCTATTTTCAAAAAATTCAGCATCTCTAGTTTCAAATATTGTGTTCTTTTCAATCAAATTATTTTTAGAGTCAATGACTAAAAATCTGTAGGCATTACTATGAAAAACATGCCCTATAAAAACACAATCAACAGTTTTCAGACCAAATTTAGTTCTCTTAGGTGCTGGAATAGAAGGTTTGGCTAAACACCCCCATACTTTAAGATATTTATATGAAGGTGTTCTACCCTTCCACATTTCACAAGGAGACTTATTATTTTTCTTACTGAAAATTCTGTTAAAAATATAACATGCAGTAAGAAGTGCTTTCCCCCACATGTTAAAAGGTAATCCAGAAGAGCTTAGCATTGATATGACCATATCCTTAAGAGTTCGATTTTTCCTTTTAGCTACACCATTAGATTGAGGAGAATAAGGTGGAGTAGTCTCATGAATAATACCATTCTCAACACAAAATTTATCAAAATCTCCTGTATATTATCCTCCCTTATCAGATCTTAAAACTTTAATTGTTTTGTCTAGCTGATTTTCTACTTCAGTTTTATAGGAAATAAATTTTGAATAGCTTTCATCTTTGCTCTTAAGTAGATAAATATAACAATATCGAGAATAATTATCAATGAAAGTTAAGAAATATTTATTTTCACCACGAGTAACATATTCTTTTAAGTCACATAAATCAGAATGTATCAAACTTAAGACCGAAGTAGTCCTATCAACATGAGGAAATGGTTTTCTAGAATATTTAGATTCAACACACGTTTCACATTTTGAATTTGGACAATTATCAATTTTGGGAATGTTTTCCAAAGTCTTTAATTTTTTAATAGAAGTTTTATTAACGTGTCTAAGTCTAGCATGCCACAAATCATAAGAATCCAACAAGTAAACGGAAGAGCTAGATGCTTTATTGTTAATCACAGAGACATTGAGTTTAAACAGACTTTCATTTGCATACCCTTTCCCAACAAGGGAATCACCCTTAGACAGTACAACTTGACCACTTTCAAATACAATCTTAAAACCCTTTTTTACTAAGATAGATCCAGATACTAGATTTTTCCTAATATCAGGTACATAAAGGACATCCTTCAAATTAAAGATATTTTCAGAAGTAAATCTAAGCGTCACAGTTCTTTTCCCCTCGATTTTGGAGGAGGAAGCATTGCCCATGAATAGACATTCTTCATCACTAGCGGGAGTGAATGAAGAAAATGCACCTCTCGTGCAGCAAATATGGTTGGTAACTCAAGAATCTACCCACCAGTCTGTCATGTTGCTTACTAGATTCACTTCTGTCACCATAGCAGAGAAATTTCCATCCTCTACCACATGTGCCTGATGCTTCACAGCTTTTCTTTTCCTATTTTTGCAATCCTTTGCAAGGTGACATGGTTTACCACAAACAAAATAGTCACCAACAATTTTATTTTTAAACTGGGGCTTAGATCGATTGTTCTTTCCTACAAATTGTTTTCTTTTGTTTCTGCCTTTAAAATTCTGATTCCTTGTAAAATTTACAATTGGTTTCTTAGTCCCAGAACTTCCTTTAATAAGATTAGCCTTTGTATCAAAGTCTGGCCTTTCTTTACGTTCTGCCATTCTATTGTCCTCTTCGATTCTAATCCTGATAATCAGATCCTCTAAGGACATTTCTTTTCTCTTATGCTTCAAACTATTTTTATACTCTTTCCAAGAAGGTGGCAATTTTTCAATTATAGCTGACACTTGAAAGCCCTCACAGATTTTATATCCTTCAACAATAATTTCGTGAATTATAATCCGCAATTCTTCAACCTGACTAACCACAGTTCTAACATCATTCATTTTAAAATCTAAAAACTTTCCTACAACAAATTTCTTGGTTCCAACATCTTCTGTAGCATATTTCTTTTCTAATGAATTCCATAACTCTTTTGCAAATTTACACGAATAGTAAACATCATACAGATCTAAAGTCAAACAATTCAGAATATAATTCCTGCACATATAATCCTTATGCTCCCAATTAGCTAAATCATTGGTTTCCTTATCAATAGGATTATCAGCAATTGCAAAACCGGGTTTATCTGATTCAATAGCATCAACGACTTTAAGTGTTGTCAAATAAAATCGCAATTTCATTTGCCATCTCTTAAAATTCTTTCCATCAAACAACTCAAGTTTTTCAGAATACTTAGGAACGGATATATCTACGGCAGACATGGCAACTAATAATAAAGATAATTTCACTTTAAATTGTTGGAAAAAATAATTAGTTGCAGTAGTGATCAGAACAATATAATGCAGAAATATAAAACTTATCGTCCGATCGAGTCTCGTGACAGCACGATGTCCTAAAGTGAAATTGCCCGTCAATAATTGCTGCGATCTCCATGGACAATCACTCCCAGGATACAACGATCGTAAACCAATTGTACAGCAATCACGAATGATTTTTCTAGAACTCTCAATTATACTCCAGAATAAATGTAAAAACCCGAATATAAGAAATTCAGAATATGAAAAGGAGGATTGATGCAAGATGATTTTTCTATTTTCTTTTTGTGTGTGATTTTCCCAAAACGAGATATGAGTTTATATAGGTAGGATGGAAGTAACAGTCTTCACCATGTTAATGCAGAATTTTATTGATTGAGTAGTGGGTGTTTTAATGGCTGTTAGTGGGTTGTTACAAAAACAAACAGTCAAAAAATACTAGCTAGTTTTACCCATTAAATAATAAAGAAAAAAATTATTTATTTTAGTCAAGGAAGCCCAAGAACCTCAATCAAGACATTTTAATATCTGCGTGGGGAGTGACTCGAACACCTGACGTCCCACACAAATGTCACATTTTTCACCACTTTGGCACTTTATCTAATTTAATTATTTCTTTCACATTTTATATTTATACCATAAATATATAACAGTTTTTACATGCAAAATTACATAAGGTGATACACCTTTCACCTACATACACATGGTATAACAATCTGTGACCCCAGGGCAGGGTCGGTGGGGGCCCTTAAGGTTGGGGTTCAACCTTTTTTTTTTTTTTTTTTTTTAATAAT